TGTTGCTTTAAAAAAATGAAGGTGACTCAGATTCATGGTGACATTTAGAACTATCAGCTATAGATGAAGGGGACAAGGAAGGTTTTATTTCCCTCCATTCCTGGGAGACTGTATTGTGTTTGTCACACTAATTGGAAGGAGACCAGCTCATCTGTAGCTTTCTGAACACATGGTGTGACTGACTGAGGTGCTCTGACTTGAGGTCAGAGTAAACTGCAATGCAAACCTCCGTTCAGTGAGAGCACCTGCTGGCCTTTGCTTGAGAGACATGACAGACCAGGACAGGGAACATCTATCCCAGCCTGCATGAGGCATCAGTGTCGGAGACATGTCCACACTCCCTGCACGGGCCACAGGCCAGCGCCAAAGCCTCTGGAGCCTGAGAGACAGCTCTGCTCCCTTCAGCATCTCCCTGGACTGGAAGGAAAGAGAACTAAGTTACAGCAAGGTGTCTGGCAGAAACAAGACTCACTCCTGGGGTCTTGTTAAGGATACAGAGCAATGGAAATTGATCCTGTGGACATTCATGTAAAATTCATTTTTTTAGCCCTGGCCAGTGTGGTTCAGTTGGTTGAGCGACGACCCGGGCATGGAGAGGTCACCAGTTTGATTCTTAGTCAGGGCACATCCCTGGGTTATGGACTCGTTCCCCAGTAGGGGGCGCACAGGAGGAAGCCAACTGATATTTTTCTCCCTCTCCCTCTCTCACTAAAATCAATGAAAGCATATTTAAATATTTTTATTCAGCTTCTTATTCCTACACCAAAGCTGTATTTTTTTTCAATCATTTCTGAATAAAAATTTTCGTGAAATTGCTCACATAATGAAGGTACTCTGCCTGGTCCCCTTTTCATCAGGTGACTGATATGAACATGATCTCAGAAGGAAATGTTTAACACATTCAAAAAAAACAATATTCTCCAGCCAGTTAAAATCACCTTTTGAAGGATAAACAAAAATATCTAACACTAAGAGTGAGTGAATGGAATAGGGTTGTTATGAGAAATGTTTTATTTTAAAAAGTAGCCCCTGTGGGCGGGGCCTGAGGGCGGGCAGCAGACCGAAGAGCCAGCGAGAGGCCGAGGAGCCGGCGGCTGCGGGGACTGTCTGCCCACGGGCTCCTC